TCGTGGTAGAACCTCAGCTTGGTCCTGAAGAAAAAGAAATAGTACAGGTAAGCATATATATATATATATATATATATATATTTTAAATGCATATCCCAACCCTCATAAAAATGTGTCTATAAACAATAATGATACAGGTTACACATGACAAATGCCATTTTTATGCCAACGATGGGCAAAAAAGAATCTGGATTGCAAAAAACGAAGATCTCCTATATCCAAAGAGTGAAGGGCGTTCTATTATGGTTTCAGCCTTCCTCTGCCCATGTCATGGATTAATGCGGTTATCAGATGAGCTGATGGAGGCAAATCCACATATCAAACATAAAGAAGCATTCATTCTTCGCTCTATACAGTCAGACGGATACTGGAAATCCGAACACATGTTGGAACAGCTGGTGCAACAAGCAATTCCGATATTTGAGGCACTTCACCCTGGCTGCATTGGAGTCTTCTGTTTTGACCAATCAACAAATCATAATGCGATGGCAGAAGATGCATTAGTCGCGAATAGAATGAATCTTGGTCCTGGGGGGTTGCAACCTAAATTGCGTGATGGCTGGTACATCAATGAAAATGGAGAGAAAATTATACAGCCAATGATATTTCTAAGTGATTATGAAAAAATGGAGCTGCAGGGAAAACCAAAAGGAATAAAACAAGTATTATCAGAGCATAAATTATGGCCGTCAGAAGGTGTTCGATTGGTATATGAAAAATGTTCTAGAAAAAATAAAGAAGATGATCCAGAAAGGTTAAATTGTTGTACACGAAGAATAATATCACAGCAACCTGATTTCTGTGAACAGAAATCAATTTTAGAAGAAGCAGTTCTTAATAAGGAGCATATCTTTGAGCGATATCCTAAATTTCATTGCGAGTGTAATTTTATAGAGAGATATTGGGGATATGTAAAAAGAAAGACAAGTCAAGAAATGCTTCAGTTTCTAATGATGTATTAACTTTTTGTTTTTTTCTCTAGGCTGTTGTTCTTAATATTCCGATATATGGTGCTCTATTATACCTTACTTCAACAGTCTTTTCTTGTGTTATAGTAACTTCTTTCATAGGTTCAACTTGTAACATATCTTCTTTTGCAATTCCGTCTTGTGGCAATTCTTGTATCATATTCACATCTAGTATTACATCCTCCTCTTGTGATCCAAAACGGCCTTGTTTTCTAGATAATTTGGATGTATGTAGTTTTCTTTTGTTAGGACATGGCATTGGATTAAAGCTAATTCAAGGTTAGGTTGGCTTAAGGATTTAGACTTTATATTCGAAGTAATGATATTAACGTGTAAATTTTAATTAACAGGTTCCTTTGAAGTCATCAATACCCTTTTTATATTCTTTAGGATTTGATTCAATTATATCAAACATTGAGATTAGAGTATTTAGACTTTATGCAATTTTAGAGATTTTTTATTATTTAAACAATAAAAAATCTCTGAGATCGTATAAGTCTAAACACTTTAATTGAGATATCGATTATGAAGGAGCCACAATTATGATAAAAAGGATTCAGAAAACAAAAGTCTTTTGTTTGTTAACAATTATCCTATCTATAATCTGCATCGAGAATCATACTTGAATATCTTATGCATTACGAAAAATTATGAATGTGCAATTATAGACCGACTAAAATCATGATGTTAATCAGTTTGTAATTGTATGCTCATAATTTTACCTAAGGGTCATGCATATAATGTTTTTTTGTTGTATGATAGTTGTTTTAAAAATAATAATTCATGGTTGCTGCGCGTAATATAAGGGTCAGCGATAAAGGACGTGCAGACAATGATGAACTAACTATAACGAGATTAAGGTGAGAGCTCTTTGTTAATTGACTTAACAATTTCTAAGGAGTTTTTTGTAGCATGATAAAGGACGTGCAAACAATGATGAACTAACCATAACGAGATTAAGGTGAGAGCTCTTTGTTAATTGACTTAACAGATTTCTAAGGAGTTTTTTGTAGCGTGATAAAAGACTAGTATGAGATTTAATGTCCAATTGTATGTGAAATTCAATGCCCAATTGCTTTTATTTGAGTTAAACATGAGCCTATGTCCGAGTAAAATAGAGATACAATTTTTTATATCTAATTGGATCGAGAATATATCAATTACCAAATCAAAAATAATTCGTTATAAGATTAGATTGGTAAAGAATTTGTTATTTTAAGAACGATTTATGACTGCTTTAAAAATTACAATGTATATATTACATAGGCTT